CCTTTAATTAAATTAAAGTTCTTGGCAGCAATTCAAAAATACAGCTGCCCAGAATTGACAGAGATGGTCATTTTTATTTGGGAGACTTAAACTGTGTTTACTGTCTGTGCCATTTGAAAGCCCAGAGGCCATTTAACAGACTCTATAAAACAACGCACAATTCCTTACTTTACTTTCCATGCAGTGATGTGACAGGCTGCACTATGGGGTCTATAGACTGTGCACAAAGGAAGGATGTACCACCAGAGACTGCAAGGATGTGAAAGTGAGCAGGGAGCCTGCAAGCTTTACTGACCAAGGGTAGAAAGAGATGCCGCGCCCAGGTGAATGCTATTTCAAAGGCGCCTGGAAAGATGCTTATTTAACTTATTTGGTATTCTGTACAAACCTTTCCATGGTTATTCAATTTATTACATAACACATGTTTCAAAAATGAAAAGAAAAAAAATCTAACACCTCTTTGGGGGCATGACTAATGGGCCATTATAACAGCAATTAAACAGCAACCACTGACAGCTGTAACAGCTACCACTACTGTGCCTTTCTTAGGTTTGCTGTTAATTACAACAAAAGTTAAGTCCCCAATGAATTTCAATGGCATCAGAATAGGGCATCAAATGAAAGACAATTCTGGTGAAGAATGACTTGCTAAAAATACACTTCTTGAACACATTATGATTCACTATCCAGGTTCAGTGTTGCCCATTGGACTCAGATTGATTCATCCTAACTTTTTGGCAGGCAGGCATTGCCCTGAAGTGATTTTCATATCAGCACACCCAACCACTGAACTGTAGAGTATGAGGAAACACCCTAAAGCTTATAAATGAAGCTGCAGGAAAAGCAGACACTCGGCTCAGGTAATTATCAGCCCCAATCCAGTCTACAAAACTTTCAGGACTAATTGCAAGTAGAAACTATGTCTGTACTTTCTTTTAGCGCAGAGGCTGGTATAGAAGTCACCAGCTGCTCAAGATACAGTTCTAAAATAAATAAAAACAGACCTGAGGTCATTGGGAATGAACATTAAAGTGTCCAGGTTTGCTGTGTATGGTTGCTGGATAACTAAAGCAGTAGATTTTTGCTGGGCATGATCTACCTTAAATACTTCACTTTTTCTCTGAGAGGAAAAGTGAACAATTCCATGAAATAAAACCAAAAGGAAAACAAATGATTCTATACTATATCATTTTGGAACATAAGCAATGTAAAAAGAGAGAAATCTGTTAGAATCTGCCCTTCAGCCCAGAGCTCCAATACTCAGAAATTTCCCACTAAATGTGTACCTTCAGATCCCAGGTTTGACAATATGTTACAGAACAAAAGAAATGCTCCATAGTTGTGTTCTGCTCATCCACATACAATCAACTAAGTCCAGGAAGCCTCAAACTGAGGTTCCAGGGAAGAGGCTGTTAAAAGAGTGAATGCTCTTCAACTATGTTTTTGTTAAAGGTTTATTTATGTACTTAATGTATGTGGGTGTTTTGTCTGCATTTACATCTGCATACCAGAAGAGGGCATCAGATCCCATGGGACTACAGTTATAGATGGCTGCGAGCTACCACGTGGGTGCTGCGAATTGAACTCAGGACCTCTGGAAGAGCAGCCAGGGCTCTAAACTACAGAGACACCCCTTCAGCTCCTCAACAATATTTTGATTGAATGAAAATAATACTTGTTCTTAATAAAGGAGTATTTTTAGTAGCGTGTTTAAGGGATCACAAAATATTGCTGTTCATGCACTAAATAGAAAGCTTTGCTTTGCACACAGATGTCCTGGTCAGCAGGACCACACTATGTCATCCCTGTAATATAAATGTAGAAATAATTCCAACACAGAAGCAGAATGGTTTGGTGTCTTTCACTAGTGAGATTCCCCTGGGATACAGAGACTCCAAAATATCACTGTAGGAATTTCAAGCCTTGTCCTAATGACACGTTATTTAAGACAAAAGGAAAAGTGTGTCAGACATCACTGCAAATAACCCTGGCAGGAACAAGGTAAGTAGAAGCCATGTCTGGTAGCCATCTATGCCAGCAGTCCAACCAGAAGCAGAGGTAAATTATGAAGTTCAAGGGCTACTGCACAGAACACATAGATCCATGGCTACAAGTTTTAAATCTCCTTCTCAGGGGGAAAGCTGGCAAAGGTCTCTGAAGATCAGTGCCTTCTCAGGAAGAACTGTCCAGAACAAGCACTCCAGGAGGCTGTCTGCAGATGACCTGCAGCACGGTCCATTAGACCAGTCTCATGTCCCCTGCTTTCCTCCAGTGTCTAACTGAAAACTATGTATCACATCACCACCCACATGCACCATCCTCCATCACTGATCCTTATTCCAGACACTGAATGGATATGCATGGAAATGTTTACAATAGAACCGGAGAAAAGCTCATGAGAGTCACACAAATTGATCCAGAATATTTATTAAAACATATTTTTGTGAGAGGATGTCAAAATTAGTATGGTACTAAAAATGTTGCCCATTTTCCTTAGTCTATATACAAAATCCAACCATCAGTTTAGGGTAATAGTACTCATTGGTGGTATAATTTAATGGGAGTCTTATATCAATTTCATGATCACCTCGAATTGTTACTTTTTAAAACTTGACTTAATAAGTTACTAATTTATTAGAACTTTCTCGTGTAATTTATACTAATTTCCCTTACCCTACTTTACAGTGCTTGATCATGTATGTACTTCCTCAATTTCTAAAAGTAGAACTGAGAAGTATTTAAGCATAAAAAGGAGAAGCAGCAAAGGTTAGTAATTTATAAGTATTACTGGACCTGTCTACACATATGGTCACCAATATTGATATGAAAACATATGCAAGGCATCTGGGAGCTGATTATTAGCTAGAAAGAGGAAGCCCGTACACCCTCTGGAGAATGTTTGCTAATATACAGAAGAGTTTGATGCAAAGGGCAGAGCATTAACATTACAGAAGTAAGAAGTTGGAAATAATCCCATGTCCTTTTACACAACAAACTGAGACAAAGCTTTACAGAAATCTGGAAAAAAACAAAACAAAACAAAACAAAAAAAAAAAAAAAAAAAAAAAAAACCAAACTTTAAACACACCGTTTCCTGTTTTACATTCAGACATACTTTTAAAAACCCACTTGGGTCTACACTCTAAGTGGCATTTGTAAAGTGCATTAAACAAGTTTTCATCCAACTGCCTAACTACCTGCCCATGGTAAGCATAGCACTAGGTCAAACATGTCAATTCCCATGAACACTTCAGGATTGAAGCCCACCTAGAACCTACTGAAACCTACAGCCCCAAAAAGAGGTACAGGGTCCAGTGTGCAGGAGCCTATAATTATGTATTTTCTATTTAAAAAAAAATAAAGATTTTATTTTTCTATCAGGAACACGTGAAAACCATTATTGCTAGACCTGATCCCAAATGAGTGTTGGGTGAAGCAGTTCTAAATACCCCTTCACAGGAGGTGAAAAGTCAACAGCATTTTATACCAGTCCATCTGGTGCAGCTGGAAAAACCTGACTTCCACTGGCATATCAAAATTGATCACAAGCCATTTTGAAGAAGGCCTTGATAAGTCTACAAAATGATTGCTGCTAACATAAACAGCAATTGAGTGCCCATCTGCTGGGAATGATTCTTGCTGATGCCACATCAAGTGCCTTCCTTCCTCCAGCAACTCTCTATGCTGTGCAGATTCATCATCAAAATGAATAGGTTGCAAGAAATAAGGGCAAGGATATCAAGAAAACTTAAAGCAACATAGAAACCAAAAGCGTGTTGAAGGAGACAGGCAGAGATGCTGAACAGATTTCCCGAGGTGACAATGATGCCTATGAGCTCACAGAAGGCTTTGAAAACCTACATCAACTGTATTTCATTTCTTGTTCTTTCTCTTCTTTCCTATCTGAAAGTCTCTTCAGGGAGGGCAAGTCCCTTTTGAAGACTATGAAATTGTGAAAGTTATTGTATTTTATCACCAATCCATGAGTTCAAGGTGCCATCACTCTCTGAGGCAGCTTGCCTCTTTTCACGAATGCCCCGGCCCACCTTCCCTCATAACAGAAGTTCAAGGTTGTAAAGAGGAGGCAAAAGAGAGAGAGCTAAAGTTTAAAAATTAAATGTTTTGCTTTCCAAATCACACCAACATGTTGCTAGCTTAACAGGGCTACATTAATTAGCAAGCTGCAAGATGGCTTGATCAAACTATTCTCCCAAACAGTTAAAACTGGAAGTCTATTAAAAGACCCATTTTAAATCCCAAACTTTTCCAACAGTTAACGGTGTGGTGTGGTGTGGTGTGGTGTGTGTGTGTGTGTGTGTGTTTGTGTGTGTAGCTTTCTTCTAAAACATTAAGTTGTTTTGTATTTAGTGACTGCCTAACCATGAACAGGAAGCAAGTTAGTCTTTGTAAGTTTTTCAAAATTGGAAATCGCCTGTTTGGATAGAAACTGCTTCAGAGACATATTTCTCTGGTTTCCAAGTTGGGGTCTCAGAAAACAACTGTCATAGACACACGTAGGACATGAGAATTATCTCAAGAGAAAGAAAATTGGATTGACAGCAGCAGCATAAGATTCATCTACTATAGTTCACTGTACTCCAGGATCTTCCCATGAGCACAATCTGAAGGTAGATTACATGGACTCATTGGGTAAATTAATATTTGTGTTGTGAAATTAATGGTATGACAGAAGCAGGACCACGTACAACCAACAGGAACTTAGTTATACATGTGAAAAAAAATCAACATATAAAACAGAAAAATGTCAATTTCTATGCTCAAAACAGTTTATATGCACTTATAATACGTATATATAGTGCATGTACACACACACACACACACACACACACACACACACACGCACGCACGCACGCACGCGCACATGCACACACTACTATTTGAGTATTACTTCCTGAATCATTCAGATGTAGAACCCGAAGGGGAAGTGTGGTTGGGGAAGTAGAGATGGGGCCCTGGGGCTACAGGAAACTTGGCTGTACCTGCCACGCAGTAAGGCACGAGGTGCACATCAGATGTCCACAAGGCTCAATCTTTACGTCTTTGTCATTCTCTGCACAGATCTTACAAAGCTGAAAAGTGGAGCCCATTTCACAATATAGCTCGTATTGTTCCTGGAATACAGGGAAAAGGCACTGACATTAACAGTTTTCTAAGCACGAAGTATTAGTATTGAATTTCCTCAAGTACAATGACTCACAGTAAGTTTCCTGTACTTGAACTTTTCAGAATTATGTTACCATTTAAGGACATGTTTTAAGTTGATATTCAATATGATCTCCAAAATCAATTCTTAAAACATCTGAGATCTTGGCACCAATTTTATATATATGTATGTATGTATGTATGTATGTATGTTATGTATGTATATGTATATATTTATTTAAATACTCTGGGTTATTTAATGGTTTATGTCATTATTTTTAAGAACAGACTTGCTTTAACAGCCACAGGGATTCTAAAGACAGTATCAACAGTTTAAGAATGGCAGGATAAATGACTTGGTCTTGGTTTGTTTGTTTTTGTAAATGTCACACTCATGTCACTTCATTGTCAAATTTAAAAGGTGCTGTCTGGACATTATATTTTATTTCTTAGATATCTTAGGATGAAAGATAAGCAATGTTTGCTTGTCATGCATGCATGCTGCTACCACACTTTCTGTAGCCTACAAGCCCAAGCATCTCATTATATCTATTAGAAAATACAATGTGAAATTGCTACACAATGTAAGAATGGTAGCTGTATATTAAATTTTAAATGCCTTCCACAAAGAGTACATATGCATAATATGTATCCCTCACACTTGAGCATATCAAGACTATGGCTACTGAAACCAATAAACATTTTTTTACCCTCTTTGACCTTTTTTGTTCAATAAAGTATGAACATATTTGAGTTATGAAATACTATAAAAATAGACTCAGCAAGACAATGATCAAGTCCCCTTCATGTTCTCTTCAACTCAATAATTCTTTTTCATTTTTTTTTCTTTTTTTTCAATAATTCTTCAGTTAAACAAGTTTCTTGTTTGGCAACTTTGGGAATGCACACTCACCTATTCTTATACAGCAGTTCATTTTGAAAAAGTGGAGTTCTGCAATGTAAGCTTTAAAGGTTAAACAGTGCAAATAAGCTCTGAATCAATAGAGATCTGTAGGGGACAAGGGGGAGACGTTCCCAGTGGACATACAGGGTTCCTGCCCACCTGTTGGTCACCTTACACAACTCCTGTGAGAAGCTATGGGTGGGTTAATCCACTACAGAACCTTTTAGTATTTTGTGATCTGTTGCTTCGTGGGAAATGGTACAGGGAACACCCTGGTGTGCAGCCCCTCCTGTGCACAGGGAAGTGCTAACACATGGTGTTTATCAAAAGATGTTTGCATTTAGATTTTTGACTTTACTGAAAATTACGGTTTTCCAAGTTCTCACTCAGAGTCTGTGGGACTGTCAAATGGATTTGTAAAATGGAATCATGACCGTCAGTGATCTTGAGGACTCATTTCACTTTAAAACCCTTGCATGAAATGGATCACTTTTAATACTGTTTGTTTTAATTCCATTTTTTTCTCCTTACATCTACGAAGCTACATCTGATTATCTATCTTAGATAGATACCAGTAAGACTGCAACCATTACCACTAACAACAAAAAATTTTATTTAACACAGATCATAAAATTTCTTTGAATTCTTAGAAATCCTAGTGTTAGCATGTTAAACACGTCTGTGTGCTTTCTCATTAGCATGTAGGTAGAAGTTCAGTTTTATTTCATATATGGTACAAAAATAGATATGTACTAATTAAATTTCAAAAATATTCTTACCTGTGTAACTTTTATATGATCATGAGGTGTAGGTTCACACAATCCGGTTAAATCGGGGTTATAACTTCGCCCATCAGGATAAAGATAACTGAATTTAAACAAACAAACAAAAAATATTTTAAATATCTAAGGTTTTACTGCAATTAACTCTCATCAGATTCTTCTGTTTAGACTCACATTTTTGTCTTTTTTTGTAACTCAAGAAAATGTTTTCCTTATAAGAAATGCATAACATAACTAATCCACTTTTATAGTAGTTTCAATTAATATCTGTTAGTGTATATTCTTCATAAAGTTAAAAAGTTATTTCAGAAGCAGATTAATATGTGCTTTATTGGAGGCTTCATAACTGGTATCACATTAATGTCCTGTTAAAAACCACATGGGGAGACAACAATTAAACCATAACTATGTCCTACACCCTCTAGCTCTTCTCTGTGGGCCTTTTCCATAGCCTCCCAGTCTTTCTCTCAGAACTTTCCACTTCTGCTAACATGCACACATGTGCACACTGCCTAGATGTGAACACTGTGAAATATGCACATGCATGTTATAAAACCCAGAGAATATGACAATCCCATATTTCACTGACTACAATAAAGTCACACACCCAGACCTGTAGAAATAGGTTTCCTTCTCAGAATAGAACATTAGCCTAATGTTATAATAAGGGATCTTCCTGCAATATTCAAAACAGTGCTAAATCGTTACTCAAGAATGTACCGAAAATCAAGTTTATTGTCATTAATGTCATTTTTTAGGCAAGAATGGTTATAATGTTATTGCTGGCATAATTAGTTCAATAAAAGTAATTAAAATCTATGATTAATCCTATTGAACAGTTTTCTATATTATAATGCTTAATAAAAATTGTAAAACACCTAGTAGTGATTATCTTAATGAAAAAGTCTACAAAAGTATTTTTGATGACATAATAAAAACATTCATCTACAAATGAAGAATCTAGAAACATTAGAGTAACCAATATTGGAAAATTATGCTAGACAAATAAACAGCTGGAAGTCTAGGACCAAGTATTTTCCCACAGTAATAGACAGATCACATAGAGTTTTCTTTGAGTCAGGGAATGGACTCATCTAAACAAGATACAGTGCTAACATGAGGCAACTAGTGGGTACTTTTCTTCTCATACAAAGTGGCTATTAAAAGTATTGTCATGCAGGATTGAAACCATCAAACTATATACTAATTTGAGGAAGATGTCCATACTGGAATATTACAGAAATGATAACAAAGATTCAGAGAAAGCTTATAAATGTCTACCTAACGCACAAAGGGGATCTCCGTGATTTGGTTCTCAGAATGTCCAGAATGACCCAGAATGAGAAAAAATGGCACCCTGGCTCATTATCAACATACACCTGTCATCTATGTCACACAGTATTAGTTTAACTATAAGAGAAAACATCCAACCCTGATGATAATTACACCTGATGGCATTCCTTAGTTTAAAAAAAAAAAAAATCCTTCCAATTCAATCATTATCCCAATCTATTGTGGAAGTGACATTCAACAAGCCAGTAGATTTGATGATACCTCTGAGTATGTATGCACTTGTGTGTGTGTGTGTGCGCGTGTGCGTGTGTGTGTGTGTGTGTGTGTGTGCATATTAAAAGTTAATTTGCTTAGGAGTTCAAAGGGTTTGTTATCCTTCAGGAAAATTTCCTAGTTTTTATTACTCATTTTGGGGGGTGGGGAGCTTGGTTTTTGAAAAAATAGAAGGCGTAAAATATAAACAAATAAAATAAAAAAATCAGTAACACATACACAAAACAAAAGCAGAATCACTCACGCTGGTCTATGCAGAGTTTCCCAACATTATACCTTCTTTATAAACTTAAAAAACAACTCCCCCCCCAAAAAAAAGCCTGTATCATGGCAATTCAAAAGGTTCATATAGAAATCTTTAAGGTCCTAGAAGTAAAGTATGAAAGAACAGCATATTTATGATGATCTGATAATAAAAAGAGAAATGTGTATGTGGTACCACAACCATCCATATATTTCCCATATAACTGCTTTCTTAAAGCTGTATATCCTTAAAAATGACAGGAATGCATTCTTGATGGGACAGGAGAGTGGTGGAGTGATGCCCACAAAAAAAGGAGAGGGCAATGGCAATAGCAGGGAATCTTAGTTATAGTAAAAATTTAATGAGCAACAGCTTGGCAGGAACTGGATTTAGCTATTAACATATAACTTTGAAATCTGGATTCAGTATTAAGGTTAAGAAAAAGACATACAAATAAAATGGAAAGTGAACAAGTGTAAAAGATTAAAAAGGAGGAAAAAAATCTAGAATTCAGAACAAAAGGCAACAATCAATTTTGTTTTACATTAAATAATTGACAATGAATTACTCTAAATTAGTAATATACAAATATTTCAAAGGTACTCTATGTTTCATCATTTTTTTTTTGATGCTGAAATATGTCTGCTCTATATAGTTAGAGTGCCATAAAATGATGGCTTTGGCCTGAGTAACAAGAATGAAGGGATGTCTATTTCTTAGGCTTGAGGTAAACTACAAACTAGGAGTCATTAGCCTCACTATCTGTTCCATGCTCAGGCAGAATTTGGGTTTTGAATTTATTTGCAAGTCGAACAAATTGTCTCATACTTACAAGCCTTCTCTGCTACCGTCAATCAGGGCTTGGAATAGAGGCTTGTTATGAGGTATGGTCTGCAGGATATTGCCGTCCCCAGTCACATAGCCAATGGCCCACTGTCCCAGCCGGGTGCAGCTTAACCGGAAAATGTAGCTAGGGAACATGACAAAAAGATCTTCACTCACATTCAAAAGACATGACAACCACTAAACAATTTGTTACTCCTTTGTCTCCTGCAGAATCGTTTAGAATTCCGGATAGAAATTTCTACCCTTTTCCTCAATTTAACTCTACTGTGCCTCACTGTTATCAATCTGTGAAAGAAACACTGATAATAATTCTTGTTCATTTAAGTATCTCCAGAGCTCTATTGAAAATAAATGAGGCTGGAAACTACCAAGAGATTTATTACCACCACCCTTGGGGATGTGTGGAAACATGGCTGTTATGATGTAGTTGCGACATAAATCATCCTTGGAGAAGGATAAAATGAAGTAAATAGCTAAATAATTAATTTATCCACCACAGAAGCTGAACCAGGAATTCAATATATTTCTTTACCAGTTGGGCATTAAAATTTGGTCATAGATTTATTTAATGTTTTCTTGCAAGCATTCTATGATTCATCTTTAAGCAAATCTCAGAAGAGCTGAACTCTATCAATTACAAACTTGATAAACTCATAGCTGCTCCACACCTGCCAGTCAAATGCTTTTTTCCATAAGCAGCAGATGTAATTTAAATACATCAAATGAGTGATAAATCTCTTAAATTAATTTCCAATAAAAGGAAATACTGATGTGGCCTTAACTTCATCATCATTTATTAATCATTTCAGTACATTATTCCTCTTTATAGGACTGTATACCCCTCCTCCTTGTAATCATGATATTAGTATTTGGAGTGTATAGTCAGTTAATCAATCAGACCAAAAATAAGTTATCTTAAGCCACTAGATATTAATTTGTTACATGAATGCATAACATAAGGGGCAAAAAAGTAAGAATTTTTTTTCATATTTTAATTATTGATAGAGTGCATTAAAAAAACCTCATAAACTATAGTTGAGCAAACAGGATGATTTGCCACTATATTTAGTAACCTCATATGCTTAGTAGCACAATGACATTTCATTTATCAAGAAAACTAGGCTTATGAAAGGAGGAATTGTTGAAAGAACTGTCAAAAAGGGTGTTTTCAAATTAGTCTAAACAGATTCCCTTGGGAGACCCTAATTATAATATACCAACCTTTAAATTATTGATATTATTAATCAATATCATAAAAATAATTCTTCTCATTTCAGACTAATGGTTGTATTAGTTTTCAAATAATATACAGCAATTATCATTTTGAAGGTCACATGTTACTTTAAGAAATGTATATAATGAGTGGGAGAAGTAACTCAGCAGTTAAGGGCATTTGCTTTTCTTGAAAAGGACTCAGGTTTGGTTCTCAGCACACACACCAAGTAGTAGTTTTACACCACCTGTAATTCCAATCCCAGGATACGTGCTGCCCTCTCTGGCCTCTAAGGGTACCTGTATGCACATGGTGCATACACATACATTCAGTAAATAAACCTTTCCAAAGCATCTTATTCAGAAATGTATACAATAAATGTAGAAGTAAATAATATATATATATATATATATAGAATAAAATGTAGAAATCTCAGAGATTGTAGGCACCATGTATTTGAGAAAACATGTACACTTTGACATTGAATTGAACACATATCTATAAAAATTGAGTGGTTAATATTTTAAAAGTAATTACCTATTTATGCATCTTGTATACTTGCAAAATTGTCAAGTTTTAAGAAACTTCTTTTTCTCTGGACTGCCTTACGATGGTGTTTCTAAAATCAGGCATTACAGAGGAGATTCAAGGAGTCCACACAACGTGTGCTGTTACTAATAATTTGTGAGATCCACATATAGCTATTAAGAACAATTTATTCCTCACAGGTAAATTTTGGCTTCCATTTTATTTGTTCAACAGCTTTAAATCATTTGCTCCTGACCCTTCTGTGACTAGCTAGCTAGCTCTGCCTTCCTTAGGCAGAAGTAAATTCACACTTTCAGATTTAGCACCTTATACTCCAAAACAGCATGATTAATATAATGAGATATATCTGTTTCATTTTCACAGGGTGGCTCACAATTAAAAGTCGTTCTTGAGCCTAAAAGTCACTCAAGAGATTAATTCCTTAGATTCTCAATTCTTTGGAGGGGTGCTGGGAACCAAACACAGAACCTGGTACATACTAGACAGTCTTTCAAAGAAGGTAGCTCATGTTTGATTGGTTGTGATACAGGCAAAGCACTTCTAAAGGAACTCAAATATCCTTGGAATGGATTTAAATGTTTTATTTACTGTGAAACCAGAGGACAAAAAATACTTTCTAAAAGAAAGGGCCGTTTAGATAGATATTTCACAAAGCAAGTAATCATCTGTTTATAAGGAGATTCTCTGAAAAGATTTTAAATATCCAAATCCCACCCCCTCATACTACAGTTACTACATAGTGCTGGCTTCATGAATTATTATGAGGAGTGAACCCTGGATGAAGCAAAAATAATTCATCTATTCTTTGGGTGATATACAGATTACCTGACCTGTGTGACTCGGTCAGAACAGTTACCTCCCTAGAAGCTTCAATAGGACCCACTTGTGTTTTGTATAACTAGTTCCTTTGAATATGCCATCTTAAATGCTTAAAAACATGAAGCACTTTATCACCAGAGAAGGAACTAGAACTCTAGACTCTGACTTAAGAAGACGGTGTTGAAGGCCAACTAAGCACAAGTGTCCTATGTCATTTTAAACCTATCTAAGAAGAGGGAGACTTAAATAAAAACAAAGTTCTCCCATAAATTGCAACAACCTAGTGATACAGTGACAAAATTACTAAAATGTACAGAATTCCAAGGCAGGCTGTAATGCCAATAACATTCTACCCAGGTCTGCTGTGGCTTAGATGTCACTGCCCAAAGGCCTCTTGTGTCCTAACACAGATGCGCACATGAGCTGGGGAAAGACAGGTTTCTATTCTTTTATTTGCCATAGTGATGGGTGCTTTCTTGACCAATGCCAGAAGAACTGACTAGACACCAAGACCTCTGACAGTCACATTCAGATTAGTCATCTGAAAAGCAAAACTTAAATGTTGAGGCTCTAAAGAAGTGGGTCATGCTAAATTTCAAGGGCATGGGATTGAATTAGAATATAACCATGACCTTATATACTGTTAGGTAATTTATGTGCCTATTTAAATATACTTATACATTAGTCTACACTTAGTCATAGAAATCCCCTGAAATTACTCAAAACTGTCTTAAAACAATGCACAGAAAACTAAACTAACTGAATTTTATCTTCAACACAATACTTGAGTGGTCAACATACATACCTAAGTTTAAACTGGAAGATTCTATACATAAAACCACTAATATGAAAACATCCCACACTGATTTGAGGAGAATCAAGCATTGCATAATCTTTAAATTTATTAATATCACTTTCTACTTAACAACAATATTAAAAGTGTATATCAACTTTAAAGGTTCAATCAAAGCGCAGCCCTTTCAGTCTACCAGCTTTCCCATGCCTGTAAGGCCACGGCCAGTTTTCGTAAGAGTGAACCACAGGGAGTTTTCTCTTTAAGCATAACATCCACTAATATTGCTAGAGTCTTACCTTCCGGGCTTGGTGCTATATTTCTGTAGTCGTGCTTTAACTTCATCATAAGTGAGAAATGCCATATACCCCGGATGTGTCACAGCTAAGAAATTCCAATTCCGTAAAATAGAGCCCCAGGGCTAAACACATAAATAAATGGAAAGAGATTACACACACACACAAAAAAAAAAAAAAAAAAAAAAAAATACACACCAATGACACTGTTTCACACACTTTGAGAAAGAAAAATCTCCTTCATATTTTTAAGTTGATACGGCTTATGAGCATTAGGTCAATTTTTGTTAAATAATAGCAAACAGGCAATAGCTTGTTTTGTTTTACAGAAATGTGTTGAGACAAAGAAAAAAAAAGCCATGTTTCTCAGGAATATAATAGAGGGCAAAAGGAAAACTAAGTGTTCCTTACACAGTATATCCCCAGTAGAGAAGATATGATCACTACAAAATGGAAAATGTGACCAACTGGTTTGAGAGTTTGATCCCCAGTCACCGTTCTGTACTCTCTGCTGTCACTTTGACTTTTCTGTAGCCCACTGCCTTATCTACTACTCTTAAATATAAAACCCTGTCCAATCTTAGAGCCTTTGGATTTGCTGAATCTCAATCACTCACCCCAACATCCACCCTTTTCTTTCCTCCATTAGGCCCTTTTAGACCCTCCTACTTAAAGCTGATATCGCTTGCCATAGTCCTCATCGTTCCCATTTTTTTTTTTTTTATTGCAGCTTCTTGCTCAGATGCCTCATTTAATAGGAAACCATGATACTAAAGTTAAGTAGTTAAGTGTTCTCGAAAAGGTTGCACAATAACCACAAAGCCATGTAAGGCTAAGCTGCATTCCTGTGCAGATCAGGCCTGGATCCCAGTCACTCAAGCAGCTTAAGATATATAGTAATCAGGGGGTTATAATTCCATATAGACAGGGTTACCTTAGAGGGGGCTGTTCTTTTCAAGAGTCCAGTCCTCACACTAGCTTTATCCTAGCTCTGCTAAAAACCTGGGAAAGGTTTAGGGTTTGAAAACAAAAAGAAAACTTTTCACAAAAACATGTGTTTCATATCAATCGCTCTTAATCTAATTAGGTGTCTCTCCAGGTATCGGGGCACAAGAAAAAAAGGCAATAACAGGCAACTTTGCTGCAGGGTGTGGATGAATCATTCCTGCAGTACTTTCAAGACTGAAGTTACATTTATTCCAAAGAATTGGCAGCATGCTCCATCTGTTCTGCCAGATTCTTCACTCACATCATCTACATGGAGGAAAAAAAAAAAAAATCTGTGTTTCAAGTCACCGACTTCAAGCTGCTGAAACCGGCATCTCAGACTTGATTACTGTAGCAGAGTTCAGACTTCCATTTGTTTTGAAACTTGTACTTGTTCTTCATTGTGAAGCAAGTTTCCAATGTGTAAGGCAGAATTATGCAAGGACCCTGTGTCCCTACCAACGGGGATAACAAGAAAGAATGATTTGGGACTAAAGAACTTTTTAGCCTTTTTGACTTAACAAGAGAAGTCTTTAGGGAATTTCCTCACCACACTGACACATCTAATTGGGTAATAAAGGAGGAATGAGAAGACTAGCAACATAGATAGCGGCTCTGCACTTGAAAACTACGGCAAGTTTTTAATTTTCTTCTTAAGGCTTGGCTGAAATTGCATAAAACAATTCTTGGAAAAAATATCAGCATATGTCAGAAAGGCAATGGAGAAATTACTGCCATGCTAGACATTTTGGTTTTCGTTTTATTGTTTTGCTCCACCATCCAAGAAGGACAAGGCAAAGGGGAATACAAAATACTGGAGCTGATTCCATTAACATCCACACACATTCTTGAAACATGTTATAATCTAAAACTTTAAAGAGAACCAATTAACAGATCAAAATACAACTAAAAAACACGATGAAATTGAAGGTTAAAGCCATCCCCAGAGACATTAAGCCAGAAGGGCAGCTTCTTGTTGCAGAAATATTTATGTGACAGGATGAGTCTGTGCTGTTGTGCACACTAGTAATCCAGAGGTCAGAACCCTACTCCCATCCCCGGCTTAAAGAAAGAAAAAACAAATACGTTGGAGAAAATAATTCTTTAATTATTTTTGTAACTCATTTGTCTAGGATTTAAGGACATCTCCCCCCCCCCCCCCCCCAATCACTGGGATGCTATTAACCAGCAACAGAATATACTGAGGAGAATGCAACAGATGAACCAACTTAATGCTGGAGGAGGGGCCGGGCTGTTCTACTCAGATACTCTCTGGAAACCTTGCTATCACTGATGGCTTCCTTCCTCTTAGATGCTTTCTAGTCTACTACTGCTTGATGGTCTAGTCGACTAGAATGTTCTCCCAAATATTCCTCTGCCACCCTTCCCCCATGGACATTTTCATGTAAAGTTCTAGGACTCAGGCTTTTCCAGCAGCAGAGGAAATAGGAAGCGAAACCAAGTAGCAGGTTTGGAAAAGGAACAGGAGGAAAATGTCCAAGTATCCATTGCATGACTCTCGTATCTTCCTATCCCCACCTCTCTCTTTGACAGGAAGAGGAAAAGCAGACAGACAAGGGCAGAAGAAGGAAGAGGAAGTGGAAGAAGACCACAGCACAGCCACTTCCTCCCCAGGTTCACCAGCTGTTGTTTAAGTTCCACGTGGACTTAGGATGGGGGCTGCAAGGAAGGACAGGTCTGGTAGTCTTATGATTCCTGCAACCTTCTCCCTTCACCTCTTGGTTTCTCCTCACTGCTTCCTAAGTAGCCACGCTGCTCTCGACTTTAGACTGCAAACTCCAAGAGTACCTCATGGACCTTCAGATGGTACACAAAACACTATGCCCCATTATTTGCTAAAGAACTACCATTTTTAAGTTACAATAAAACAGACGCTTATGCACTTAGAGCACTAAAAACCTTACATTCCTATAAAGACCATGGAAATACTAAGTTTTGATAATAGCGAATTTAAGAAAACTATTACTTAACTTTTAATTGCATTTAAAAATAAAGATCAGTAAAAATGAAAACATCACAAAGCCAATTTCTTCATATTTGAAGCCATATGTGTGATGAGTATAGTTGAAGTATTAAATGGTAAATACAGAAACCGGAAAAATGAAGAATCTCAGATATTGCAGGATTAATCAGGTTGTTTGGAAACAATTCCTAATAACCTGACCAGGTAAAAGGTCATCAAGGCTGTCTTCTGTCAAATAATCCTTTTGTACTTTGTAAAGATGTTTTGCTCTCATTGGTTTAATAAGGATCTAACTGGCCAATAGTTAGGCAGAAAGATGTAGACATGAGAGCCAGACTGAGAGAATGCTGGGAAGGAGGAGGGCAAAATCATCTACAGCAATGACTCCTGGGGGTTTTGACTGAGGTTATATTAAATCTATAGATCAATTTAAGGAGAAGTGACAGCCTTATAATACTGAGTCTGGCAGCTTGCTGGAAAGTTATATCTCCTTAGGACTGCTATTTCTGACTCTGTTTCATGTTTTCAGATACCATTGTGCCATATAGAATTTTAGAGTTTTAGGTTCTAGTCCAGGTTTGTAATAATCTTTCCAGAAATGATGAAAATGTTTAACATTGGACTCTTAATACCAGTAACTAAATAAAAACTAGTTTTTATTTATATATAACAATGTGCCATGAACACATTTACATGGTAAATATCAGTCTGTGCAATTGCAGTTGCTGAAATACAGACTAATAGTCTGTCATTACACAGGAACTTATTTGCTTTTGGTTTTGAGGCCATTAAACACTGCAGCACTGTCTTAAAGAGACAGGTAGGTGAGGCTTCACACTCCACACCCAGTGCTTTTTTAAGACCAATGTGTCTTAGACGGAATCTCAAGGAAGCAGACTGTCCTGGTGTACAGGCTTTGAACCGTGTTACGCAGAGGAAGCAGGAGATGAATTTGTCTTGCTGAAAAAGGTGCCACCACATCGTACAGCATAGGCGAGAAATATGGGTTAACCTAAGCTATAGGAGCTAGCAGGTAACAAGGCCAAGCTATTGACTAAATATTATAACTAATGGTGAGCTGGCTGGTAGGACAAAACCATGTCTACAGCTGTCACATTATCTATGCTTTTACTTTCTCACACCCCTATGAATATGCAGATAGGCAAACCTCGGAATATTTAGGCTGCTTGGCTATCTTTAAGTATAACTCTATATCAGACAATGTATGCAGAGCAGTGTGGGTAGAGGAGGTAAGCATATAACCAAAATGAAACTGCCTACATACTTATAATATACAACTGAGATCTTAGTGCTCTTAATGTCTACTCTAAAAAGGCACGCCCCCCCCCACACACACACCACAAATAACTACAACAATAAACAAAGAGTTGGGGAAGCTATGTTTAACAGTGAAAATTACAGAAGATTTCTACATCAAAGGTAAAGAATCAAAACATCATTTAGAATATTTGGCTTCCACTGAAAATGAAGCCTTTGTTCTGCCAAACAATGAGAAATCTTTAACACAGAAGCAAGTTATACAGTTAATGCCTAGTGCTGGGTAACAATATTCCTCTGAAAACCTTCTTACAATGTTTTAAAAGTAACGGCTCTAATTATATTATAAAAATAATTTAAAGAGGGCTTACAACAGACATCAGGAAAATAACCACTAAGCCATTAGAAAATTTGAAATAAGCAAGCCCATACTTCCTATAGTATTTTATTAAATTTTTTTATCCCACATATAATGTAGAGCTATAATTTCTAAATTGTGATAAAGTAAAATCCACCATAACTCTGTTGTTGGCCAGAGTCTGTTTATCTCCTGATAATGAGTTATGTTAAGTTGATCCTATGCAGTGATTTCTAACTAAATGAGTTAGTCATCTCGACTTTGCAGCTAGCACTAAAGTCACAAATCATACAGCATAGGGAAAAAAATGAAGCTGGTGTCACACTCTAACATTTTATTTAACAATATCACTTTCAGAACATGATCTATTCAAGATTAAAATGATATTTTCAGAACACAATTAAGCTTGATGTCTAGCCAATCTTATCACATTTACTGTAATTATAAGTAGAATTGTAAACATATTGAAAGGATGATTTCATGTTGTAAGTCTTGAATTGAAACCAATAAATAATATACATTTCAGTGGCAAAGCCAAATTCAAAACACGATTTTTATTTTTTTGCATTTAGAGGAATTCTGTTTATATATTTACAATAAGCAAAGAAGCAAAAAAAATATTGTTTCAGTATTATGCCACTTGTTTGTGAATATCTATGTAAAATAATTATGAATGTCATAAAGCAACAAAAAAAAAAACCCACAAATTTATCACTGGACAAAGCAGAAAGAAAAACAAAATTTTGATTAGAGTTCTTAAATGAATATTGATAAAGTTGTGAAAGAATATCAAATAGGCACTAAAAAATATGCTGATGAAGAATATCTGTTGGGATGGAAAAATATTTGTTACAACTTGTTGAAAGAGAAAAGCAATTTGTAAAGTGGTGTGAGACCACAGTACACTATACATAGCTCACTGAACTATTCATAGCTTTACCCTTTATCTTCTGATCCAAAAACTGCCGTTGCCAAATACATGGGATCCAACTCTGGCTAACACCCACCTATAATGGTTTCAATATATCAGCCACTGGACTTAAAAATGAGCAAAGTGAAAAAAGTTAAAGAAGGAGTTTAAAATAATTCCTTTCCTGAACCACTAATACTGGCAAGCAAACTACCAGGATCACATGACCTGATATACCAAGCTTGTACATGGGACACACTAAAACTTGGAGGAATGACCAGTGGCTACCAAGTATGTTCTTGTCCATATGCTTTTGTACATTGCATGCAGGTGACAAAAAGAATCATACACAGAGCTAGAGGAAAGAAAGGGATAGATAGACAAAGTAAGTGTATATCTTACCTGAAATAGCCTGGTAAAAATATCAAATTCAAAAACTGAGATATAATCATTGCAAGTTAAATCAATGGTCGATTTCAGAGCCATTGCTTCCAGGCCAGAGCTAATCTGATGGACCTCATGCAGGCACTGTCTGAAGACTTTCCATGGTACAATGGTTCTGGGCAAAGGAAAAAAGATGAGTTAATGATTCAAGTGTCAATGAAAATGGATCTTCTAGTGAAAAAACAGAAATAAACTATAACATTAATAGTATTATACTTGAGCCAGGTGGTGGTGATGTATGCCTTTAATCCCAGCACTTAGGAGACAGAGGCAGGCGGATCTCTGTGAGGTCAAGGCCAGCCTGGTCTACAAAGCGAGTTCCAGAACAGCCGGGACTGTTAAAGGGAAACTGTCGTGGAAAAAAAAAAAAAAAAAAAAAAAAAACCACACACAAACACACACAGTTGAAAATATTGTGCATAATTCAGGCTCCGTGTAAGGTGTTCACATACAACAAGAATCTTGGTTTTTTATTCAGTTCATAGACATCAAGATGTATCTCAAAGCATATCAGAGGGTAAAAGTATGAGGTGTCATCATCTCTTCCTTTGTATACTCAAGGCAGTTTAACTATGGACCAATCACCTACCACGTCTCAGACACATGCTTTTTGTGGAGAAGACACATGCTCTCTTACCTACCATATGAATACAACTTGAAAACTTCTTTTGTAAGTGCAACTATCTTGTAGGAATTTGTTTATTCAGTATCTAGCAGTTGCTAAATTTCATTATTTATCATATAGCAACAATTTTTTTTAATGTACTGTCATGCCTCAGAACATTGGAGGACTTCAGAAGGGATTCAGAAAAGGTCTGTCTCTCATTCCTCAAACAGCAATTTCCACTACTCACCCACCCTCCTTTCCACCATGAAAATCTGTAACATCCATTATCTGTTCCTTAGCAACCTTTTCCTCCTTTCACAATGCCAAATTCCTATTCATGAATAGATGGAAGTTAGAAACTATTCATATTTTAAACATTTATATTTCGGTCTCAAAACAGGATACAAGAGCTATATGCATGCTTCAGAAAGACAGCACATATTTAAATCTTGGGCTTTTCTTTATCATTGTCTCCAGAGAAAATAAGCAGAAATTAGGTAAAATTTCCCTGGGTTCGCTCAATACCAATTTTCTCAATGAAGATCTCATACAGATACAACTTGAATATTCTGAATTATTATCATTATCTACAGCAGTCAAATGGTAGCACAGATTAAGTCACTTAAAGGGTTTATTGTCACAGAGAATCTGAAACCTAAGTGATTCTTGTGGCTCTGGGTGGGGCCCAAAAATGAATAATTTTGACGAGTTCCTAAATGGTGTTGACTGTGCCTGTCACTCGGAGCCATTGTGGGGCACAGCTACCTAAATGGCAATGCCATTGGAGGCCCTTAACTGTGGAAGGGCTCGGCACCACCTCTGGTCTTGAGCACCATATATTTTGGAGGTAGGATGTATACAACTCATAGGAAATGAGAAAAGAGAAAACCCTACTGACTGAACACTTGGAAAGAATGGGAAGATTACAGGAATGTGTGTGAGAAGTAGCAGAAAAACAAATGACAGACCTACAAGACAGTGAAATTACAGCAATGCTTAGGCCTGGTGCGCCATTAAAGAAGACAACTACAACATTTAATACCTCAAAAGACTTTTCTCTATGTCTGAAAAAAACAGGAAACCACAGAGAACTGAAGGGAGACACCACATCAGATGCCATTTAAGAGAAACACACGTCAGACTCTGATGAAGGTTAACAAACTGTTGCTGTCTTAAAAGAACAAGGAAAAATTCTAGTAGTATCAGGAAGCTATTGATTTATAGAGAAGTGTAGTGATACAGTTAGGCCAGCTGCAGTACAGTGACCATGAAAGTGATACCTAAGACGAACATATTCCTATTCCAAATTAAAGATTCCAATACTTACCGGACACAAAGAACAAAACTCATATATAACAAAGGGAAAATGGTTGATCAAAGACTACTGATTACAGAGTGATATAAATAGAACGTTTTTCTGCAAAAGCACAACATTGTTCTACTTAAAAAGCATAAACTAAATAAACTGGCTGAATGGAAAAGTTCAGTCTTATGTGTATGTAAAGTATAAAAGTCAAAACAAAATGGCACTGATAAACGTTTTATATATGTTACCCTAAGATTATCACTATCCAATACTTACAATCTTAAATATCTCATGATTTTCCAGAGGGGAAAACTATATATAAAATATAGCTACTTCTAACTTTTGATGTAACCTACAACTGCAGAGCAGTAATTTTCAACATAAAAAGGAGACGTTTTCCTAATAGTTATGGCATAAGATTTGATCATAGTTCATTTATGATAAACCCTAAAGCCCCAAAGTACATATTCATTAGAACCTTAATTAAAGCTGATAAAGAAGACTTAGAAACCAGAGCATCATTTGGCTATTTTATCACCCAGAATCATTACTGTATTTCCCCCACTTCTGTGTGCTCAGAGGAGACTAAGTGTAGGGGTGGGAGGAGGAGCAGGGCAGGCAGGCTATATGAGGGAAGATCAGAAGTAGAGTGCAAAGATGCCTTTAAAAGCAAGAAAAGAATACTGTGTTTTCAAATTCTTGCACCCTGGCTTTCTTCACAAAGACGAGCATCAAAGGCCATGAGATCAAGCAAGGGGCAGGACATATTGATGGCAAGATGTTTCACTGATATGTGCACATTTGGGTGTCTTGGCAATGACCATAGGCAAAGACAGGGAAGAGAGTGGCATAAAGGGGCAAATGTGAGCTTCGGTATCTCATCACACTAGAAAATTTAATCTGCTCTGTTTGTCGCTTGTCATTCATTATAAATCTCATTAGCTGCAGTCAGAACATCCAGAAAGTATACTGGAATTGTTTTCATTTTATTACATGTATTTACCTCTGTGCTATGCATGAGAGAGATAGAGATAGATAGATAGATAGTGTGTGTGGGGGGGTAGGGGTTCTGAAGACACACTGTCATAATCTGTTCTTTCCTTCCACAGTATTGGTCATGGGGATTAAATTTGGGTGATCATCTTTGCCATTAAGTGCCTTTGTCCACAGTCATCTTACCATCTTAACAGAACAAACACAAGTGATGCTCAATGTACAAGACAAGTAGGAATCCAGACCATTGCTTCCAAAATACACTCTCAGAATCTTTAGAATCTCAGTTAAGCTTGAGAGCTGAGATTCCTTCACAACTGACCATTGTTTACCTGCAATACAGAAATCTCTTAAGGGCTTACAAAAGGGGAAAGTCGCTTCATGGAATGCCCTAAGAGAAAGCAATATGCTAAATAAGGCCTTGATATCATTCTGTTATTAGATGCTATACCTTAAATCTATATATCAAAAAGTAACTATTATTTAAAGATGAGTAATGAATTAGATCAATTTGATGCAACAGGAAAGGGGGTCAGTGGGTCAAAGGTCAAGGGACAACTCAAGTCATCTTCGTTCTTATTTGTGTAAGAGGAAACGTGTCAGTCTAATGTGAAAGCCTTGAAATTTTAAGATATAAAGGATGAACATTAGGAAATCAATAGAAAAAAAAAGGAAGACAAAACAATTTCATGAAGTATCTAGCTCATACAAGGCTATGTGTTTTATGTGCAGCACTTGAGGGGAAATTTCACATAACAAAGGTGTGACTATGAGCAAGGGTGATGGTGTCTGGAAACAGGAAATAGCATACACATGTGGTAAGAGGAGAATTTACACAGCATTTCTAGAGGGCAAACTGGTAACAGGGTTCAAAGGCTGTACATCAGAAGTCTGCTTCCATGAGATTCTGTCTAAGAAACAGTGGTCTTAAAAAGGTGCTTGGTGTGTAGTGTAAGACCTACCAGTAAGACCCTACTGCAGCACCTCTCTCTAAGACAGTGCTGCAGTATGTAATGGCTCCATAGCAAAAGCAAGTAAGTTCATGTTAATCAGTCTGTATTTCAGCAACTGCAATTGCACAGACTGATACTTACCATGTAAATGTGTTCATGGCACATTATTATATATATAAATAAAAACTAGTTTTGTATTTAGTTACTGGTATTAAGAGTCCAATGTTAAACATTACAAATCTGGACTAGAACCTAAAACTCTAAAATTCCACATGACACAATGGTATCTGAAAACATGAAACACTGGGCTGTGGGGAGTTAACAGAGAACACAGTCAGCACACATGCACAGAGTCAGAAATAGCAAAGTCCTAAGGAGATATAACCTTCCAGCAGGCTGCCAGTCTCAGTATTATAAGGCTGTCACTTCTCCTTAAATTGATCTATAGATTTAATATAACCTCAGTCAAAACCCCCAGGAGGCATTGCTGCAGTGGAAACAAACAGATTCTAAACCTCACGGCAAAACGCCAATAACCAAGATTAAATAAAACAATCTTCAAGAGAAGACAGGCAAGCTTGTATCCTTCACATTATCACAGTGGCGATGAGACGGACAGACAAGCAAATGGCAAAACTGCTATTTAAGAAACAAACAAACAAAAATACATAGCCGCTCTCTATAGAACATCAAGGGTTTGTAAAATGTGATTTTAAAAAGATGTTTTTCATAGATCCTGGTGGGTACAAGTGGGGAAGGAACTGAATCTTGCCCATTAGACACTAGTACACCTTTAGAAAAATCAACTTGAGGTATTTTAAAGCTAACTATGAAACAAAGTTTTCTTAGAAGAGACAGAGCATTATCTGCACACATTTGGGGCAGGCATAAAATTTAAACAGAACCCAAAACATTCAAGCATAAAGTAAATGATGAATTGGTGGAGGGTGTGTTCATGAAGAAGACACTATAAACACAATTAAAAGGGAGCAACATAGTAAGATGTTGAATAAACATACAATGATAGGCTCAACCTCATCGGTCATCAGAGAAAACAAAATCAAAGTATGATAAAATTCCATTCTCCTCAAAAGATATTAAAAAGATAAATGACATTAGAAAGCACTGGAGATGTGCAGCAAGGTGAACCACTCCATGGCCAGAAGTGACTAGAAGTGCTTCAGGGAATGCTAAGGAGCCTGCTAAAGATGGAGGTCTGAACTCAAATACAACCATCAGAAACGCACAAATACTTC